ATCGGATTAAAGGTACCCCAGTCCCCTGGTGTTGAAGCGCTGTCACGTCTCCACCCACCAGCACAACTATGCCGCCCACCCTTCCATGCGGCACGACCAGCCGGCTGTCAAGAGGCTACGACTGGAGGCCAGCAGCAACAACAGCAGCAGGCATGTGAAACAACGCAAGTGCACGAGTCCCCGGACATCGGATTCAGAGGACAAAGACAAACGCAGAACTCACAATGTGCTGGAGCGCCAACGCAGAAACGAACTCAAACTCAGCTTTTTCGCATTACGGGATGAGATCCCTGAGGTTGCAAATAACGAGAAAGCCGCTAAAGTGGTTATCCTAAAAAAGGCGGCAGAGTGCATCCACAGCATGCAGTTGGATGAGAAAAGGCTGTTGTCCATCAAAGAACAGCTGAGGCGAAAGAGCGAACAGTTAAAACACAGGCTGCAGCTGCTGCGAAGTTCACATTAATGGATCTGTGACACAAGAGTCAAAGTGAAAAAACTTTTTAAGAAAGCCCCTCTCCTGCTTTTTTATGCAAATTAAAGACTGTTGCTGTGTATAGTTGATGTTGCATGTCCAATGCATTTTTTTCTTTTGAATACTATCAGTTGTTTTCATGTTTGAAACTGCCACAGTTTAAGATTTAAGGTGGTTAAAATAATTTGTATTTAAGTCATTTATTTTTATTAATAAAATGAGAAAAAATAGGGCTGCACAACCCTAAAGTAACATTTTTTTGTACGTTTTGGTATATAATGAATTAATATTTCCTAAGAAAGGTATTTTTGGATCTGTATCAGCTACGTGTTCTCATAAACCATATTCTGTTTCACTATATGGTTTTCTTCATGTTTTCACTTAATCATAAATGAATTTCTTTCGGAACTTGACTCTCTTGGTCTCTTTTGGTCTCTTTGCACTCACAAAAATAGATTAGACACTTTTGAAAGAAGTTAGGGGAATATTCAGAGAAATTTGATATTTGATAGTCTAGCAAGTATGCTACTGTTCTTTTTCAATGACAAACTGGTACTCATTTCAGGGATTTTCCCAGTAAATTTTAGTTTAAGTTTTCACCTGTTTGTGTTATTGCACTTTAATGATATCAGTATAGAAAAGCTTACAAAAGACAAAAATGCTCAACTGCATCCCCGCCCATCTAAATGAAAGTTGAACTCCTTCATATTTGGCATTGAAATAATAAGCAACAGTGCCCAAAAATGAAAGGCATTGCAAAGTTATTGTGAGGACGTCTGCCAGGAAACCCAACGAAGGGGATTTTGACAGCAAGAGAATCCACTTTCAGGTGATTCACCAAAGATTTTACAAGTGATGACTCACAGTCCTCAATTTAGTCTAGATGCAGGGCTCATGTTGCTCATAGAGCATCTGTTGTGTTTACCTAGCTGCAAACCACTCAGAAATCAGTGCAGCATCAGGTATATTGTGGACAGTGTGTGAATTATACAATTGCTTTTAGATTTTAAAGCTTTTAGGTGTTTTAAAATAATTTATAAGGGTGCAATATGTTAAGGCTATAAAAAGTTATAAAAATGTTATATATATATTAACGCGTTGTCTTAATTAATTAGTTATGAAAAAATAACGCGATTCAAAATTAACGCAGTTAACGCACTGGATCCGTTCCCAGACCTGTGCGTCATCTTATATTTCCTACAGTTGACTAGGGTGACCATACGTCCCCTTTTCCCCGGACATGTCCTCTTTTTGGACCTTAAAAAATGCGTCCGGCCAGGTTTTCTTAATCGCCCAAAATGTCCGGGATTTGGCTTTATCTTAATCTCTAAATCTGACTCCGGCAGCTCTTCTTGGATGCAGGGTTGCCAAGTCCGCGTTTTTCCCACAGAATTGGGCTACTTTTAAAACTGTTGCCATGGGTTGATTTTCCAAAGTGGGTTAAAGGTTTGAAATATTGCATAAATTACATTTGACTGAAATGCTTGTATTGAAACATTTTGCATTCTACCTATGACAAAACCTTCATGGAATTTTACATTAACTGCTCCCTCCTGGTGGAATGACCTGCCCAACTCAATCCAAGCAGCTGAATCCTTAATATTTTCAAGAAACGGCTGAAAATACATCTCTTTCATCTTCATTTGACCCTCTAACTCTAGCACTCTCTAATATAATGCTAATTCAAATTTTGTCTGCTTGTTTTTTTTAATTAAAACAATGTGACCACTCTCTATTCTATTTCTATTCTAACTGTACTATTTATTATAAATAATGACCTTCTAACACAAGCATTATCTGTTCTTTTTCTGTTCTATTGACTTGTTTTATTTCAATTTTAAAATGACCCTCTAACACTAGCATTCCCTATTCTTTTTCTATTCTATCTACTTGTTTTATTTTTATTTATTATAAAAACAAAACTAGCAAACAAACATCAAAAAAACCCTTGCTACATAGGCAGGGCAGGACTTACGGGGCCGGGGGCCCCTGGGCTTGAGGTTATGTTTGGGCCCCATACCTATACTACCAAT